TATCGTCGGCCTGACGGTAACAGTTTAAACAACTGATTGCTGGGGTGAGAATCGTCCTTGATGATATTTGTAGCTCTGCTGAGGAAGCGAGAGTTGGCAATGTCCTCCAGTCTGGGCAGAGAACAGCCAGTAATCTTCTGGGCTGTGTTGATGATCCCTTTCAGTGCTTTCCTATCTGCAACTGAGCACCCTGCATACCATGATGTTATGCCGTACGCTAGGATGCTCTCAATGGTGGCTCTGTAAAAACTCACCAGCAGCCTCTCCTCCATGTTGTTCCTTCTGAGCACTCTCAGAAAGTGAAGGCGCTGCTGAGTCTTTTTTACCACCGCCGTGGTATTTGCAGTCCAGGAGAGATCATCAGAAATCAGGACCCCCAGAAACCTCATGGAGTGAACCCTCTCCACCAGGTTCCCGAGAATATAAATTGGGGCCTGTTCTTCTCTGCTTTTCCTGAAGTCTAAAACAAGTTCTTTAGTTTTTGTGGTGTTCAGTTGGAGGTTATTTACTGAACACCACTCCATCAGTCGAATTACCTCATCTCTGTAGTTCGACTCATCACCCCTTGAGATGAGTCCAACCACGGTGGTGTCATCCGCAAACTTTATGATGGTGTTTGAGAGGTGAGTCGTTGAACAGTCCGATGTGTAGAGTGTGAACAAGAGGGGACTCAAAACACATCCTTGTGGAGACCCGGTGCTAAGTGTGATGGACCGTGACATATGGGGGCCAAGTCTAACAGACTGTGGTCTATCTGTCAGGAAGTCCTTAATCCAGAGACACATGGGAGTAGAAAGTCCCAGGTGTAACAATTTCTGAACCAGGATCTCCGGAATGATGTGATTAAATGCTGAGCTGAAGTCCAGGAAGAGCATTCTCACATAACTACCTTTATGCTCCAGATGACTCAGCGCAGTATGGAGCGCTATGGTGATAGCATCCTCTGTCGATCTGTTTGCCCTATAGGCAAATTGATGGGGATCCAGCCTGGCAGGTAGACCAGCCCTGATATGATGACAAACCAGTCTCTCAAAGCACTTCATCACGACAGATGTAAGTGCAACAGGCCTATAGTCATTTAGACCGTCTACAACTGTCTTCTTGGCGATGGGAATGATGGTGGAGGTTTTCAGGCAGGGTGGTACGGTGTTTAATGTTAAGGAAAGGTTGAAGATTTTAGTGAAGACTTCGGTGAGTTGGTCCGCACATGCTTTGATAACCTTTCCATGAATTCCATCAGGACCTGCCGCCTTCCTAGGATTTACTGACCTTAAAACACCCCTCACTTGATACTCCTGAAGTGTCAGTGTGCCGATGTTAGGGGCGGATGGTGGCGGTATAACAGCTGAGGGCCTGGTCGTCTCAAAGCGAGCGAAGAAATTATTCAGATCCTCAGCCAATGAGGCATCAATCCTAGATATAACTTGATTTTTGCTTCTGTAATTGGTGATGTGATTGATCCCCTGCCACATCTTCCTGGGGTTGTTTTCAGCAAAGTGATCTTCAATCTTTCTCCTATAGGCTGCCTTGGCTTCTCTGATGCCTCTGTTCAGGTGTGCCCTAGCCGCCCTATACGCTACCCTGTCTCCTGTTTTGAAAGCAATGTTGCGGCTTTTTAGGAGGGATTTAACTTCGCTATTTATCCAGGGTTTTTGGTTTGGAAACACCCTAACCCTTTTGTTGACGGTGACATTGTCAACACAATTCCTGATGTAAGAGAGTACAGTGTCCGTGTACTCCTGCAGGTTTCGGCTGGAGAAAACATCCCATACAGTTGATGAGAAGCAGTCCTGCAGTTGAGAAAGGGCTCCTTCCGGCCAGGTTTTTATTATCTTTGTCTGGGGCTTAGTTTTCCTCAGCAGGGGAGTATAGGTGGGGGTAAGGGACATACAGAGGTGGTCAGATCCAGCCAGATGGGGGAGGGGTGTCGCTTTGTAACAATGGTGATTGAAGGTTAGGGAGCAGGCGGTCTATACACAATAACAATGGTGATTGGAGGTTAGGGACCAGGCGGTCTATACACAATAACAATGGTGATTGGAGGTAAAGAACTACAAAGAGATGATCCCGCAAAACTAAGAAGACGAATTTCAAATGTACTAAAGCTATAAACACTTTACTCAGACACTCCTTGGTTAGGCTGAGATATTGCAGCAGCACCAGCACCTTTGCCATCTGGTCGAGGGTTATGCTGTAATCAGCTGGAGTAGATTCATTTAGTGCCATGAATTCATTCGGTTTAAGCCAGGTCTCAGTTAGGCATAAGGACCAAGACTAAAATCAGTAATCATTTCATTTATTAGTAGCGCCTTAGGAGCCAGTGATCTTACATTCAAAAGTCCAGGTTTTAGCCTTGCATTACACCTATTATCTAATAACAGATTTGGTTTAATTATTATCAAGTTATTATGACATACACTACAGTGGAATAGAATGATTAACAGTGCGGGGAACAGATACAGACCCAATAACATGACCCCTAGGTGACGACTCTAAGCGACTAGCAGACGTCGGTTATGCCGGTTTGCCTGCCGCCTGGACTTGACTCTAGTTAGTCAGCGATTTGCCTGGAGACTATGAGCTATGCTTTTAGACAAGAGGTCAGCACCAGCCCGCGAGGGGTGAATACCGTCCCTCTTCAAAAGCCCAGGCCTACCCCAAAACATCCGCCAGTTGTCTATATAACCCACACCATTTATCGGGCACCATTCCGACAGCCAGCGATGTAGCGACGATAATCTGCTGTACATTTCATCGCCACGTCTAGCAGGGATGGAGCGCGTTACTGACACAGACGTCTTCTTCACAAGGCTGCACACCTCTGTGAAATTTGTTTATGTAACTATTGACTGTGAGATGCAGAAGCATGCATGGTCAATAGTTACAGCTCTACATTAATTTTATCGTTCTTTTTTTTTTTTTTTTAAGATGTGAACTGAATGCACAACCCTGTTGGGGTGTAACGTCGGTTCCCTGACTATGAAACTTGCCAAGGGGTGGTGACCTATAATATATTTTGCCGTGCTCAGAGGTAGGAAATGTTCGTATAAATATGGGACAAATTACGTATTTTTGTGGATCAGTGCAGGATGATGTTGCCCAGAGGAACAGTTCATGTTGTGATTGGCTGGTTGGAAGTCGGGCAGTAATTGGTCAGTTGGTTGTCAGGCAACTGTGATGCTCCAATAGTGAAACAGCTGGCATGGAATTCCATGATAAGTCACTTTGTTTATAATAATAATAATAATAATAATAATAATATAGAGGGGCGGCATGGGGGTGCAGTGGTCAGCACTGTCGCCTCACATCTGTAGGACCAGTGTTGGCGTCCCCCTCCCCCCCCCCACCCCGGCTCCTCATGGGGTTTTTCTCTGGTCTCTGGTTTCCCCCTACAGTCGAAAAACATGCTGAGGCTAGTTAGAGTTACCAAATCACCCATAGGTGAGTGACTGTGCCCTGCCATGGGTTGGCACCCCACCCTGGGTTGTTCCCTGCCTTGCACCCATAGGCTCCAGACCCCCCCATAACCTGGAGGAGGGTAAGCGATTGCAGAAAATATTATGCTTAATAAAAATGGCGGTTACACACCACAATGGACAAGCATTTAAAACTAATTAATAGTCAGGCCGAGTTCATTTAAAAACTTTTAATGGTTCTTTATATTTTTATCTGAAGTCTTTTTCTCAATGTAAGGAGCTGCAGAGGAGCTGGGTTATCAAGACTGTCTGCAATTTTCTTATTTTGGACAGAAATTAACATTCGTAACTGCTTCTCTTGTTTGTCCCTCCACATAAGTTATAGGGTCTGTAATTTCCATGAAGCACGTACAGACGCAAGTGGTTTCCTCGAACTGGTGAATTTATTCCACACGTGAAAACTAAAGATACATATAAACAAAGTAACAATTCATTCTTGAGGCGAATCGCTATATTAAGCGCTTATACATTCGTTAAGTAACAAAATACAGACATAAAACATACACATACCTCGTTGGCTGTGTGCTTATCAAAAGAAATTAGGCTTACTTCGTCCACATCCTTCTTAACCGATGTGCGTATGTTAACGTTTTTGCATTATTCCCCTCTGACCTATAACCTCTGACCGGGTAGAGCTACCTTTTATACTTTATAGCACCATCTGCAGGTGGCATGTAAAACTACAAGTAATAAACAGTAAAACCATTTAAAGATAAAAGAGAAAATAAATCTGACAGTTACAGGGTCTGCTGTCATATGCTGACTGGAGAAAAATAATACCTGCTTTTGATTCTAGTAGAATAGATTACTGTAATGTCCTCTTGACTGGTCTGCCTAAGAAATCTATTTCACATCTATAACGGGCCCAGAATGCCGCTGGCGGAGTGTTAACACACACCAGGCACAGGGATCACATCTACAACGGGCCCTAATGCCGCTGGTGGAGTGCTAACACGCACCAGGCACAGGGATCACATCTACAACGG